CCGTTCTCTAGGTAGTGAAATTATTATCGTGCTTCGTGGTTCTTTCTCATTCACCCGTTCTCTAGGTAGTGAAATTATTATCGTGCTTCGTGGTTTTTTCTCATTCACGTTTTTCACGTAAATCTTATGATACTGGTTTTTCTATTCTTTATTTATTATTACAACTAGGTATTCTATTTCGTTACTTTTTGGTTGAGTTCAGTGACTTTTCTCGATGTTCGTTGACAATGCTTGTAAATATTCAAATTCAACTCGGGATAGAACTGGAACTTCTCAATACCTACCGAGAAATTAAGAAACTTTCTTGGAAATAACCTCCGTGGACCCAAAAACCTTTCTATATACTCCCAGTCATCATCTTTACTTTTTTCTATTAATTTCTATCGAGATCTAAAATTGATCTTCTCCCAAAATTTTGCAGATTGTCATCTTCAACAAACTCAATCAAGTTAGAGTTTACATTGATTTTCTTCTAAGATGTCCACAGAGCAGGTTTCTAATGTTAGATTAAGGGCGGGGGTTTCAAAGCAACCCACACAAAAAGATGATTTAGCGACGGAAAGTAGCACTCCAGCTTCAAGCGGCGGAATGGTGGTTAATGGTCAGCCAGCGATGCCTTCGTCCCCGTCGAGACGGCCGTCTTTCTCCCAACGAGCAATATCTCAGACTCTAACTGGCACGGCGAACCTCGCTAACCTCCTTCCGACGGGGACCCTCCTGGCCTTCCAGATCCTCATGCCAATCTTCACCAGGAACGGCGCCTGCGACTCCGCCACGCGCCCGATGACCCTCGTGCTCCTCCTCCTCCTCGCCATCTCATGCTGCCTCGCTTCCTTCACCGACAGCGTGAAAGCCTCCGACGGTCAGGTGTATTACGGGTTCGTGACGTTTAAGGGGATGTACTTGTTTGACTCTCCCGACCCGACCGGGTTGGGTTTGCCAGACTTGACCACGTACAAAATCAGGTTGATTGATTGGGTGCATGCGGTGCTGTCGGTGTTAGTGTTTGGGGCCGTGGCGTTGAGAGATAGAAATGTCGTGAGCTGCTTTTATCCGTCGCCGGAGAAGGAGATAAAGGAGGTTTTGGATATTGTTCCAGTGGGGATTGGGCTGATTTGCAGCTTGTTGTTCAT